CTACAAACGTCGCCTAAAGTAATTGATTTTACGCGGCAGAACGAAAGAAGGAAACTCCGCTTTTCAGTTGTCTCAGGCGATTGATTTTTGACAAACAATGACCTTTCAGAGGTCAAATTGCTGTCAAAAATATGAATTGGCTGCTTCTCAGCAACTATGTACCTGGAACACAGGAATCATAAACAACAATTAGGAAACAATCTTCGTCGAATCAACTTACAAAAAACATCTCAAATAACATCGTCCAAACAGGTACAAAATGCGAATATAGCTTTAAATCACAATGCAACTTAAATTGCATTGGTTTCAATAATGTGTTATTCATTATTGGATTATCTGAAAAATATCTAGTATTTAACCCCGATTCCAACTTCGATAACGGCTATGACAAAGAAACACACACCGACAAACTTTATATCTCCTGATTGCTTTTGAGCGTCATTGAAAACGATTTTGTGATCTTATGGCAATTACATTATCATCCAATGTAATGTATTTAATGATAAACTTGTACATAATTATGGTTTATCTTGACCTTGAGGTTAAGGGTTACTTTTTTTCTAAGGAGAATGATTAAGAGTTTTGGATGAAGTAGGCTTTGACGTCACGTTGTAAAGTCATGTTGTGAGTATGAACGTCATACGCTACGCTCTTCAAGATCACAACTCATACAAATGCTTATAATTCAAATTTCAATCAGCTGGACTTTAAAAAATTCAACAAACAACACATTAAGAACAAGATATTTTTCAGCTGTAGTTCATTGTGGAAATGTACAGCAATTAGCTTAGCGCAAGGATGCAGGGGTCTTGAGTACAGTAGGGAGAATTCACTTTAGAGAAATCTGATTTGAACACACCTTATTTTAGTCAGTGGCATATCTAGCATGGCGCACCATACCCACCCTCCACCCAAAAAATACTCGTGCCTCTCCAGTAGTTCCCCCATTGAAAATGTTTGAAGCAAAAAACTTAACATAACCAAATAAATTATTTGCTTTATTTTAGACAATATTGGATTCTTTTGACTTTGACAAACTCGGCCGACTTGACTTTGGGCTGAGTTTGGTTCATATATAACAAAAAACTATGAAAATGAGAATGGTAAAGTTAAAGGTAGGAGAATAACCCATAATTCTCAGAATTGCGTATGGGTGTGATCCGTGACTACCCAGTGGCCGTAAAAAGGCTCTTATAGTAGCTAACTGTTCACATCAATCCACAATAATGGGGCTGAAATGAACCATAGCATCAGGGTAACCTCCTAATCTTCCAAATGATGCAATAGGTTCTTTAAAGTGCACATGAGCCAGAAGTATACGTCCTTATCTGAGAAGACTTGGTTCTACCAACCCTGGACGAGGAACAACTCGAACCAACGCAGATGTTAAGGCTATACAGTAGTTAGCAGTGCCCCTGTCTTATTGCTCAACTTACTCAATAATATAAAGACCTTAATAAGACATTTTACCATGCAACTCATATATTAGCAGATCTTTCCACTTCTCATAAAATTATACAAGATTTGAAGATCATATGAGGACCACCTCACCAGTTAATGTTTGAGTGTAGAGACTTGAGGACCACTTCACCAGTTAAAGTATGAGTGCACAGACTGGAGGACCACCTCACCAGTTATAGTATGCATGCAGATTTGAGGATCACCTCACCAGTTATAATATGAGTGCACAGACTTGAGGACCACCTCACCAGTTAAAGAATAAGTGCACAGACTTGAGGACCACCTCATCAGTTAAATTATAAGTGCACAGACTTGAACACCACCTCACCAGTTAAAGTATGAGTGCACAGACTTGAAGACCGCCTCACTGGTTAAAGTATGTGTGCACAGACTTGAGGACCACCTCACCAGATAAAGTATGAGTGCACAGACTTGAGGACACTACCTCACCAGTTAAAGTATGATTGCACAGACTAGAGGACCACCTCACCAGTAAAAAAAATTATTACAAGGATTGGAAGAGGGTGAAGAATATCAGTTTATGTTTTATTGTGCCTCAGTGTTAAGAAAAAATAAATTATACAGTCATACTGATTGACATAATACATTATTATTTCATATATTTATTAGCACATTACCATTATCAATTATTATTTATTCAGACTAAATACATTTGCAAAGCAGTACAACACATGGATATAAAGAAATAAGTAGATACTAGATGCCTGCAAGACAAAAAAATCTGCCTAAGCCAATCCAGCTCCGCACCTTCAACTAAGTGAATGAATGAATTATATAATTTCATATGTAGTGCATTCTCAAAGTGAAAGAAATGTTAAAATTTAATCTGTTTATTATATCACCTATTGGAAATTAGCAGGCACCGTGAGGAATATCTGCAAAGGATCAAATGTACAAGTGACAATGCAGAAAAATAGCTGATGCTGATGCTGACAAATGGGTGAGAGCCGTAACGGTAATAGGGTGGTCCGGGAAAGCCCCATCATCCTCCCATGAGCATGTAATCAGTAGACAACCAGCTGAACTGGTATCCGAGCTTGCGAGAATTTCAATCTTGGTTTTAACAGCTTATTAACTGATAATGTCTCCAGCATAAAACTACTTAAAATGTTGGCACCTAGACTCATAAAAGTTTGCTTGAAAACCAATATAATAAATCTCCAAATTCTGAAGTTTATATCATCTTAAATTTGACATTAATGACTTTCCACAATTTCACTCATTTCCTTTCCTATATTATGAGTGGTTTTATTTTGTTTTTCTAACACCAGCACATTAAACCTGAAGTGAGAACACCTAATGCTAGAGAGGGTATATGACAGGTTTTGGAGCCTTTGGGCATCTGTGATGGAATGTAGTCAAAACTTAATCCTAACCAACCAATGGAATAACCCTAAGGGCTATGTTGGATCTCACAGCTATATTATCATTGTAAATAATGAAAGAATCAATAATGATAAAAAGAAACACATTTCAGCACGCAATCCTACAACGGCAATCAAGTCACTGACATAAGGGGCGTGAAATGTATCCAATAGTGGGCATTTTAGTCGGAGTTGTCAATCATCTTTTTAAACTCCACCCCAACTATCATATTCTATAACTCTTGCTTCACTGCTCACTTACTGCTATTCTTCTTCCATTAACAGTATGTATCAATATAAGTAATAGAATTATATTATTTATTTATCTATAAATTGGCGAGGAAACTATATCCTTGTTTTAATTTTCACCTAAAATTTAATAATTAATTAATAATTAGATAACAATAATTACCTTAAACATAAAAAGTAAGAAATTCAAATATAGAATAATATTTTTTGTCAGGTCAACACATCGTAGCTTAAATTACCAGATCGTTTTTGGCAATAAGTTTTGATATGTAGTTCAGTGTTTTTGATAACTCAACAATTTTTAGCAAGAGTTTCTTATTTGGACCACTTATACCAAATTACATTAAAGCATTTTTAGAATACTGTAGTTTCAATCTCAACCACCTCAAAGTATCTAGTCTGTGGAATGAAAGAATGACAAACTAAATCATAATTAGTTCACAAAAACTTTAAAAAAAAAAGGAAAATGCATTGATTACATTTTCTGTTACCTGAAAAGAAAATCCTGTCGTACCACACTGCAAGAATCCCACTGGAATTATGATGCGTGGACAGTGTGGACAGGAGATCAGAATGATACATAAACTAAAATAAATTGCATAAACTAGTTACTGATTCGACCAAAAGTGAGATGGCGAGACAAGATCACAAGCTAATGGGTATTTTGGGCTCCTTGGGGGGAAACTGCTTTCACCAAAAAAGGTCAACAATAGATTTTAAACAATTCTTGGGGTCGGACTTTTGCAATAGACATACTGCAATTCAGACATAATAATGAAACAAATAGCGCCTTCCATTCCTGCCGTCAGGCTCAACAGACAGATAGGCATTGAACCATGTGAGCCAACTACCACTTGCAAATTTAATAATATAAATTGTATTATAAAGAGCTCATGTGCTATTCCCAAGTTGGTTATTCCCGACTTATTCTACATCTGGGATAATTGCCATAGCGGATGATAAAAGTACGTCTCGTACCATTATCCATCATAAATGGGTCGTTCAACTCTTACATAATATGTTTCTTCGGAAACACAGACTGGGAGATAAACATCCGTTTTATTCCAGACTTGATGGAATGTCGGAAAAAACTGTCGGTGTTGAATAGGATTTATTCAAAGAGGGAGACAGACAATGCCAGTCTTATGGGCATACCTGTGGTAGTTTATTATCTTAGAGGCTTAGTCCAATCAATAAGGATTTATATAATTCTAAACTCCTTAAATTTTAGAAATAAAAATTTTATGATTTAGTTTATCAGAAATGCTCACAATCAATGAAATTTACAAAAATAAACAACATAAAGTAATTAAAATATATAAATTCAGATAATTATCTGAAGATGTTTGTATGCTTGATTTGTGCTTCCGACAACATTGTTATTGACTGTATATACCTCAATAGTATTAGTATTCACATGGAGAAAAAAAATATTTCCCCTCAAAATTGCTTTTGGCCACAGGGAAATATGCATGATGTCTCCAACCACCAGTTGCACACTATTATTAGCCCTGATGGTCAGTCCACAAATGTCCTCAACACTTGCAATGCCACTTATCCATTACTCTGACATGATAAATTTTATCTAGAAAATTGAATAGAGCAACAAGGCTTTAAAGTGCATCAACAAACGCGAGAGGATTCACTTGAATATATATCTAATACCCTTAATCTAATAACAACTGCTACAGACAGAGAACTATTTTATATGTGTTTGCAATATTTTATTGAATTGTAATGATTCATATATTTTGGACAATGCAGAAATATAATTTAGACATATGGATAAACTATATTTCAAACATTTTGAAGGCTAGAACAGATTCAGAAAAATATTAAACACCAGCAAACTTCAAAATGTGGAATGATTTGCCAGCTGAAATCAATCATGCATTAGCATTAGCAGATCATGGGATCATTTTTAGATATCCTATCATGGGCGATCTCTATCGCTGTTAAATATTTTTCAAATAAAATAAAACAAAAATATTTTTATATTTATTTATTTATTTATTTTATTACTAATTCTAAGATCCTATAAAATTATCAGATTATTTTTACAGGAGAGTAAATTTGTTTCTGTTTGGTTTTTTTTGGTTTTTTTTTTTTGCTTTTATTTTTGTGTTTAATTACTGTATGTCATATTACAGGCAGGCACTTTGTAAAAAATATATTAACACTTTCGTGGTAGAAAGAGACAGTGGACTGTTCTGCTAAAGCCCCATCCCTTTGACACTGTTGCCACGCATAAAGTTGTTTGTGGGACATGTGTGTATTCCTGGTTAAATTTGATTGGCACTCTGGTAATTACTTATTACTGGAAACTACTTCTGTCCCATATAATCTTAGAAGAGTTTGTGAATTTTGTATTCCAAAAGTTAAAACTAATTGTTCGAAAACTATTATTAATCATGGTCCTCATCATGAATGGTAGTCTCCCCTGTACAGTCAAAACTCCTTGTTGCTGGTTGATGTCATTCTCAGGTTTGCTCTTTTTGTTTTTTTGCTGCTTTTTTTTTAAATGTTTTTTTTTATTAAACAATAGCAGTAATCCTACTGATTCTTTAGGTTCTTTCTCCGTAATTCCTACTACAATATAGAAATACTACAGGATTTTTGGAATTTTTCTTAAGTTATGTAGGCAATTCATTAATTAATTTCAGTAGGAAAAACATTTTAATACTGAAATTCAGCATGAAATACTTTGTACAATTCAACAGAATTATTGGCATTGCTTCTGGCAAAAGAAATCCTGAATGATTTATTTCTTGTGATAACCCTGTAGAAATTTATAGGATTTATTTTTGTCTGTACTGAATTCCTTAATAACATGCAGAGATCCTCGATTACATCTGTAGGAACTAAGACAATTTGAGTTACAGACTATATGCATCAGTTGCGCTGTTCTACTAGTGTGTTGTTTTTGTTTCCAGTAAGCCGGTAAAAATGTTTGGATTTTAGTTGCCAGTGAGAGGCCAGGGGGCTACAGAGCTCCCAATCATTGACGGTGGCAATGTCGGGAAATGTTGAGCATTGAGGAGCTAAAAAAAACATAACCGAGGCAGAGGGGGTACAATACGGAAGAACAGTCACTCTTTATTCTTCACAGAGTTCCATCACCCCCACAGAGTTTGAAACGTCCTTGAAGGATCCAAGCAGACATTCAGCGCGGATTCAACTTCAATCCAACAAAATCTATAAAAGGAAATTGAACAATTCCATCAAAACCAAATTATAATGTAATCCGTGTTAAAATAACAATACAATTTAGGTTATTGCGCAAATTCTTCTGCTAAATATTTTACAGTTTTCCAAAGCAAGATACTTTTCTGTATTATTATAACAACAAAAAAATTGTGAGCAAGAAAGTTGGTTTCCTTGATGTTTTTAATTATAAAAAATAAAATTACATTCCAAAAACACAATAACAATAATATTACATAGGTGTCTGAAACTACCATACTTATAGAATACGGTGTTCAATGGTGGTGCCAGCGTCTGAAATCTGGGGGGGGGGGGCAGTGAGGGGAAAGGTAAAATTTTAGGGGAGGCCCCCAATATGTTTTCCCATAGCAGACTGGAGATACAATTATAATTTATAAAATCACAACATTAATGGGTAATGCATCCATGTGGTTGTTATTTTATTTAAATGCTCAGTATATTTATTGCAAATGTGAAGTTTGTTAAATGCATTGTTTATAAGTGGCTTTGGCCTTGAAATGGCAGACCGATTGGAGCAATTAATGTTGTTGGCTAAAAAGTAAAGTTGGCAAAAGTTTGGGGGGAAGTGGGGGGAGAAAATTTCCCCTTGCCTTCCCCCTCCCCCATCCCCCGCATCGCGCCGCCACTAACTGTGTTAACAAGGGCCATACTGTGAGCATAGGACTTCCTGCATTGGTTTAAAGAACAGAATCTACCCAAAAGTTTGTTCCAAGAGATATATGGCAGATCATAGATAAATTTAATCCATTAAAATGAAGCATATATTGCATTTTATGTGCATACATTCTGGACTACATTCAGGCTCTGTTATTTGGCTGGCCAAATTCCCTGGCTCCCCAGTTTAAGTTACTTCCTTTACTCAAAATATTGCATCCTCAATTTGTAACCTACATTGATGATAGCTGAAATGTGGTTTGTGGGTGGATTTGGTGGCATTCTTGTGCAACCATGCATCCATTTTGTCGCCTACTCACAGAGAAATAGATTAATTGCAAAATATCTCTTGATCCAGTTTTCTATCAATTTGTGATTATTTTATTATGGTCACGAAAAACTGACTTGCCCAAGGACGCTACAAAACGATTAGCCTCAGACTCGAACTTAGAACCTCTTGATTGAAAACCTGAAGAGTTAATGCCATGCTACAGTGCTTCCAAAAACACATTATGCCAGTTCATTGACTTAAGGAAAGGTAAATGTACTCACAGATTGAAGTTAAAAAAAGGTTTGAATGTTTTTGACTCCAAGCCAGACACTTATAGTGATATGCCAGGAAAAAGACAAAATTAACAGCTATTATCATGAGAGATATGATCTGTATTTCACATTCAATACCAGGTAAACAGATTTGCAACTTCTGTTGATGAACTATAATTAAATAATTAAGTTTTTATTAACCCTCATTGAGTAGTTAACCTCCGTGGCCATGTGAGCTCTTTAACGACTTGGACCAGTTTACGCTTCCTTCTCCCTGCATCGATATTTGCATTCTTACATTTCTTTTAAATCTCATGTTTTTATTATTATAAGCCTTAAACAACTGTTCTAAGCGTATTATTTTTCTTATTTTGCTCCTTTTTTTGTAATGTTCTTTTGCAATGGAAATGAATAGAAAAAAAATTGTTATTAAAAAAAAACAAAAAACCATGGAATATAATATGAACTTTAACATAAATAGTAGACATATGCACATGATAAATATGATTTAAAATTAATAACAATAAAAATATCAAGCAGAAGGAAATTTCTCCCCCTTGGGCTTCACATTTAAGTTATATATTTCATTATATATCATATTAAATCCTTTTTATACATATTTAAAATTTTATAATGAAATCTGAATGGAGCATTTATGAATTTGTTATGCTATAAAAACAGAAATTTCCCTCGAATTCTCATAGGTATATTTTTACTTTATCTGACCTGATAGTGATCTCATACTATGTTATGTACAGTTAGTACTTTACGTTTTACACACATGTTTTACTTTTATATTTACAATTGTTCTTGACATATTTACACTTGAGTTTTGAAATGTACTTTTGTTGTTTTTTCTTGTATGTAGTAACAATGCTACTGGTTTCTTTTTCACACTGATGATAGATGATTTGGTTTTTGTGATTTATTTTTGTTGCGATACTGCAATTTTTTTTAAAGTTTATTGTTCTTGGTTTAGAATTAATAACGTAATCAATAAAATAAGAAATATTATTACATTTTGTTAGTACGATAAAGATAATTATTCAATAAAAATATTTGATAATAATAATGACTAAGTAATAATGTATTTGTAAGCAGTGCTCTACAGTATGTTCAGAGGTAAGGGACAAAGCTGTGGCCAGCAGAGACCTAAGCCCCACCTCCCATTGGTACAGTAGTGGGGCTTGGTGGCAGATAATTTTTAGAATCTCTATTTATTCTAGCATTTGACTAGCCTAGCATCCCTAAACAACTATTTAAATATTTGAATTAAACATTTGCAAAGGATTTATATATTCCAGTCCTATTAGATAATGTTTGAGTATTTATTTATAGGTTTGCATTGTCTTCATGGATTAAGTGGCAATTTTTTTAGCCTGTTCCAAAGTTTAGGAGCTGATGAAATTGCGAAAGATTGTTCCTACAATGTGGCATAACCATCTCCAAGGGTTGATCAAGAATTTTTGTAAGGGGGCAGAGGAGAAAACAACAAATTATTTAAAACATTTTGTATTTGTTTCTACAGTATTTTTATCTTATTTCGATACTCTTTTGGTATGAATTGATGTTCTTCAAATCAGCCTTGTGCTTTAAGGTAAAAAAAAAAAAAATTTGTACCGTAATAGCACTAGGGACAATATCTTGACAGTGCCAGAACCTAGAATGATTCAATTATAGCAATGACATTAGCAGACCCACAGGAATTCATGTTTAGTTTGTTTTAAACATCATAATGTTGGATTACTACAATTTGGCGTCCATAGTTCACTGGCATGGGACAATTTAAACCTTGAATGCACACAAGTAATGTTTTATACACAACACAGTGGAGTTCATTCACTGCAATGATACAGAAAAAAGTAAAATATTTTATTTAACCTTGAAAATATAAACCAAAGTGTGTATTTATCTAATGAAGTTAAATGGCATTCACAAATCATCACAACTTACAAAACCTACATCCGGAAACTATCTATCTTGAAATATCTTAACACTCCTTTACCTCTGATTCCATTTCCCTGCTACATTGGCAGATCTGGAGGGAGTCAGTGGGGTCCTGACCCCTCTTGGGCAAAAAAAAAAAAAAATAAAAATTCTAGATCCGTGAGCTGAAATTTTTATTTTTAGAGATTGTCTTCCCGTCTACTTGCCTTCTTCTGCTTCTTTCAACCTTGTTCACAAATTGTTGGAAATTCATTTATATATTTATATTGTATATATTCATGGTTTGTTTGTTTGGTTTTTTTAATTTTTTAGTGTATCTTTGAATGTTATTCTAAGCAGTTATTGGCCCTTGATGGCATTTGAAGCATAATAAAATTGAATTGAATTGAATAATAATAATATCTGAAATCTTCTAAAGAAAGTGGAAATGTTTATTGTAATACAGTTTAGTAAATCATAATAATGAGCATTTTAATAATGAATTATAG